CATGACAGCATGCACTCCGACCTTCTACATCTTATTTTCAAGAAATCTTTTCTCTGAGTATGTATTTCTCACGTCCTCCTTCTTAAACCTTTCTCTCGTTTCTTTTCTGTGCATGACAGCATGCACTCCGACCTTCTACATCTTATTTTCAAGAAATCTTTTCTCTGAGTATGTATTTCTCACCTCTTCCTTCTTAAACCTTTCTCTCATTTCATTTCTGTGCATGACAACTCTCACTCAGACTTTCTACATCTTATTTTCAAGAAATCTTTTCTCTGAGTATGTATTTCTCACCTCTTCCTTCTTAAACCTTTCTCTCATTTCATTTCTGTGCATGACAACTCTCACTCAGACTTTCTACATCTTATTTTCAAGAAATCTTTTCTCTGAGTATGTATTTCTCACCTCTTCCTTCTTAAACCTTTCTCTCGTTTCATTTCTGTGCATGACAACTCTCACTCATACTTTCTACATCTTATTTTCAAGAAATCTTTTCTCTGTGTATGCATTTTTCACCTCTTGCTTCTTAAATCTTTCTCTTGTTTCATTTCTATGCATGACAACTCTCACTCAAACCTTCTACATCTTATTTTCAAGAAATCTTTTCTCTGTGTATGCATTTTTCACCTCTTGCTTCTTAAATCTTTCTCTTGTTTCATTTCTATGCATGACAACTCTCACTCAAACCTTCTACATCTTATTTTCAAGAAATCTTTTCTCTGTGTATGCATTTTTCACCTCTTGCTTCTTAAATCTTTCTCTTGTTTCATTTCTATGCATGACAACTCTCACTCAAACCTTCTACATCTTATTTTCAAGAAATCTTTTCTCTGTGTATGCATTTTTCACCTCTTGCTTCTTAAATCTTTCTCTTGTTTCATTTCTATGCATGACAACTCTCACTCAAACCTTCTACATCTTATTTTCAAGAAATCTTTTCTCTGTGTATGCCTTTTTTTCTCTTCTTCCTTCATAATTATATGTGTCTCACTTCATTTCTTTGTAGATCAGCCTTCTGTTTCCATAATCTGATATAGGCTGTTTGTTGAAACTCCTTATTTTTCCGTCTTCATTTTAATACTTTTATTTAAAGTCTGTGCATGGTAATTCTAACTCTGCATTTCCTTTCAGAATCGTTTTCTCTGCATGATGTTTGTCTTGTTCTTCAATCTTAGTTTCTATATATATGTTAAATTTATGTCAAGGGCAGCAACTTGTCTTCCCCTTTGAAACATCTGTTCTCTGTTTACGACATTTCACTTATCCTTCCTTATTATTTGTTTTTTATTTCAATTCTCTGTTTGAAACAGCTTTCACTTTATCAACCTTACACATATGCTACTTTTACAACATGAAACATCTCTGGGTGTCATTTCTCTTGTTTTTCCTCCTTCATATGTGTGCTTGTTTCATTTCATTTCATTTCTGTGTATGAAAGTTCTCAATCCATCAACCTTTCACACTCTTTTTATCTTTAACATGAATTCTCTTTGCTTAAATTTCTCAGTTCTTCCCTATTATTTCATATGTATGATTTATATCATTCTTTGCTTGAAGCTTTCTTTATCCAATCTGAATAAAAATATTTATTGTGCACAAGCCTACATATTCTAAAATCTATTTCCCTGTCTTCATTCCAGAATTTGCCTGTTGTACAGACACTGAAATGCAGGTTGTGTGTCTGTCATAAAAATAAATTCTCATACTGTCTTACCTTTTATGTATGTATCACATACTGATATCTGTTTTATATGATGCATATTCATTCATACACTCTTCCAGGTTTTTATTCTTGCATGTTTTAACGGGCACTGATATGCATTACTAATGTTTGTATTCATTCTCTTTCACTTTTAATGTGGTCCATGTTGATATCTCCCTTTATCTCCACGTTGTCAGAAACAATGTAGTTATGCATGTTTAAATTTATACTAATTTTTCACTTTCATTCTGACTAATAATCTATTGCAATTTTATACACTTTTGTCTCCACATTTCTGCCAAAAGAATAATATCCCTTATTTTGTTCTAAAATTTACCTTACATTATTTTCAAGCCATTTTGCATGCTCTTACACTTTATTCTCTTTCATTGTTTCAGAACTTTGTGTTCTATGTTTTCTGAGTATTCCTTCCACACATGAAATTGATTTTATCTGCAATAATTTCTGTGACTAGCCTCCACCTGTGTCTGTCTTACTTCGTACTGTTACAAACACCCCTAACATCTAGGCTCTATGTAGCATGTTTTTAAAGTTCCCCATTTATCTGTGGGATTCCCAGTATCCACCCTCCATCTTTATATATTCTCAATTTTCTGTTGACAGCCAACCTTCACTCTCTGCTCACAATTAGTTTCTTCATACTCAACTCCTCTGTTATTCTAGATCCAACAACATATGTCTATATCATCTTTATTCAATTCTCCAGAATCTGTTTTCATATTAAAATTGTTCTGCATGCTTTCTGTTTCTTTACTCTCATGAATAAATTAGTTCTTTACACACTTAATTATCTGCAATTCTTGTTACCAGTACCTTTAACTGCTAATGTTTATTACTAATATTAATGGCAGTGAGCACAACTTTCCTTCCCTACAAAAATAATAATACGGACCTCCACTAACCATAAACAATTCCTTCATTTTATTATGGAAAGAAATCCATTGCCATGGAGGGAAAAACAACACAGCTAACCATGTACAATTTCTACTACCAAAATCAGAAGACAAGTAAGAAGATAGTGCGTAAAGAAAAGAAGAATTATTATATACTATCCACAATAAATGAAAATCCAAAATATGATTGCAATAAATAAACTGGCATAATGCCAGAATATTAAACTTGCAATAAACATTATCACCAGGAGATGAAGCCCCTACAGATTACAAGACTGTTACAAGGTGAGTATATGAATCTATGCCATCAGTTCATTAAACACTTCATGTTAGAGTTTGTGTATATTATCAAAGGAGGCATAATTTAATGCAACATGCATTTACTACAAAGTATCAACATATGAACAAAACAATTAAAATTTGTAAGATCAGAGATTTAAGCTCAGTAATATATGGAACTGGTCCTGCATCAAACTTATACAAATCTGTTTATTAGGATGTCACATAGTACACTGAACATTTTCTAGCATTCACACTGTTTGTTTTGTGTACCATAGGTACTATAGCTGACAACTTACCCTATGACACCATCAAGAATGTGGAAAAGCAATTCCTCAGAGTCAACATGCTGAAGAAACAGAAAGAATCAATTAGAAGAAATACACAGGATCCACTAAACTTGCTGCTAGATTAATCAACAAAGAAATCAAGGATTTGGAAAACTTTCTACAGACATCACAATAAGTGTATCTACCATCCATGATAAAGTTTTACAATCATCTACTTAGTGTTAATGTAGGATTATATAGGAGTTTAAGAAATGTGACGAAAACGACTATGCGGCTATTAAATTAGGTTATGAATGTATATAATTTGTATGGCATTAAGTATATTAACTCTTATTGTTTCTAACCTCAAAATGTTGCTTTTAAAATGAAAATGTCGGTTACAAATAAGATATTTACTACTGTAAACTAGGCAGGCAGCCACTATAAAGATTTTTACTTTGTGTAACTACAAAGTTCTAATTTAAAGCATGACAACCTATTTATTAAATATTAATTTAACCAAAAGATTTAAATCAGATATCAACAAATAGCTTATAAAAATAACTAGAATTTATAGCTAGATAAAATTACATGCATTACATTTAAAAACAAAGTACTCTTGTCCACTTCTCACCACCATATGACACTTAATGACAGTTTTGAATAGATGACGACATTTTCCGCAAAGGAGTGACATGAGAGAAAAAAAACAAAAGAAGGATAATATTAATTTCCCTTGCTGTTCATCAGAATCAATTCCGGCTACTAGCAACGAAATTACATATTTTGCTGTAACACAATATTATGGTATAAACTCGTACAAATAATTTATAAATGCTTTTCAACTCTCACAAATTCGGAAATGCATTACCAACTTAATGGGTTTAGCTGACTGCATAGAGTGCAACATTATCACAGAATAAATTCATATATGTGAAACAAGAAAAATTAAATAGAAGACTTCCAAATTTGTTATATTATATTTAGTCTTAGGCTCTGAAAAAATGTACAAAGTTACATAATCAGGTATACCAACATACTCGGTAAGAAATGTCTGGTGTACACCTTGCTACTAGCAAGCTTTTACTTTCCTATTTTATGGTTTCAAAAAAATATGCTCGAAGTGTTGATCAGAAACTAATTAATGACTTTTTTAAAGTGGCCCTTTTATAGTACCTTAAAATCTCTATAAAGTTTTATAAGATGTTCATACAAATACTTGATGGTCTCTTCTTATTACTATAATGAAATAACATTACGTCCATTGTTTTGATTACCCTATTTTTCAGCCTCTACATGACAACCAAATTTTAAAGGAAAAAAACTGCCATGCCATTGAACTGTATGACTCATTTAGATTTTATGCAGCATTTCCTAGTGACAGAATATGTCTTATACTCCAGCAAATACGATAGTTTTCTATGCCCTGTGTAGGTAAATTTTCCAATTGAAGAATTTATATAAGAAACTGTCCTACATGTTAAACATGTGGCCTGTTCCTCACTCATCAGTGTTTTATGACTGTGTTAACTTCTTTGAAAATTATTATTCTATATCAACTTTCTCATGAATCTGTTTCATTTTAAGCAAATTTCTCTATCCATTGATTATCAGAGTTTTTAGTTCTTTAAACTAGTATTCATTTCATAACAAATTGCATGCACATTTAATAATTAATGATTATGACATACATTCAACATAAAATATTTACTAGAAAACACTTGAGCTTTATGATCACTTGTTCAGTGCAAATTTAAACATGCGAAGTACCTAGTTTCTTGTTCACTTCAATCTTTCATGTGTCTAAATACTAAGTAACCTTATTCATCATCAAATAAGTCATACTGTGATAACATGTGTAATTATCTACTGTAAATTTCTGTTTTTCATATAATTTGTACATTATAAAAAAACAATATTGTAAAATTCTGTTAAATCAGTTTTATTATGCATTACAAAAAATTATATTTCAAGAATCTTAATAAAATTCTGATCTAAACTGCACCCCGTCTTTGTTATTACATTAATTTTTAGTCCTAAAGGCATGAGTAGGTACAAGGGAACTCTATAATGAGTTTAAATTTAATATAAAGCTTCATTAATAACTTTGTGCATGGGAAAGTGCTTGGAAAGGTTACGAAGTTATGATAGTTTCAAAGTAAACTAAATTCATCCTAGAGATAAAGTGTTTTAATGGCATATTCCACAACACTAAAATAAAACTGAAATATGGGTTATTTAATAATGAAACATGTTACAAAAAGTGTTGAAAATTCCCACCTGTGATTGAGCAGAATCCATTATTAAAGTTGGAACTTCTTCAAGAATGCGCAGTTTGGTTCAAATGTCACTTGTAGCATCCAAAATTCTTTGAAGAGGAGTGAATGTCTGTCATTGGTTCAATGCCCATAGATTAGCTCCTTCATGTGCCCCAAAGATAACCTAGGAGTTCAAATCAGAAGATCTTGCAGGCCTGGTCTTCCTTGGCTGATCCAAGAATGCAGATAGTTCTGACTGAGATCATCCAACAGCCGTTGCTGAAACTGAGCAGGGATTCGACACATTGCAGTCTCATCCCAAACTACACAGTATATAACACTTAACAGACAAACCAATGATTTATTCATAAAATAATTCACAATAATGAAATGAATTACCATATATTGCTAAAAGAAGTTAAACAAATAAATGATAAATACCTTCTGAAATAAATATTTTCATCTTCACTCCACTATGGTAGCATTCAACTCCATAGGGTTTGGGGTTCTGAAAGTAAGTAAATGTAGAAAGAACAACACCCAACAATATTTTTATTATAAAACTAGACTTACAGACCCAAGGTAGAATACAAAACAGCACATAATCTCAATATACATTTCTTCCTGCAACACGTGTTTACAAAAGCGATGAGCAGTAAACACTATAAAGAATAATATTTTATTTCATAATAAAGAATTATAACCGTTCAGATACTTATACAATCACATATATTTATTGAACTGTCCATTATTTCCTTTTATCTCAGAATTTAATGTCCAGTGTATTTACAATTTATCTGATCCAAAATCATAACTACTATATTTCCAGAACAGCTGTTTTGTCAGTTTTTCCCTTATACTGTTTCAGAACTGGATACACTTCTTCCTGAAGGAATTCAGTCACCTGAAACATTTGAATGTCAAATGAGAGACACAATCCACCACTTTTACTTCATAACTTAAGGGATGAAGGAAATCTGTTAATGAAAGACTGGAGCTCCCCACACATTATGTGTTGCTGCGACTGATCACAAGATAACATCATATCATGCTTTCAAAATGGAAGCTTACTGTGATAATCAAATCATGGAGGATAAGACAGGCAGTACATGTACTCATGCGGGAGATGAGAAACATTTACAAAATTGTGGTTGGAAAGCCTGGAGCAGTGGTCCCCAACCTTTTTGTGCCTACGGGCACATTTGAGAGTTTATGAGATCGTGGCGGGCACCAACCAATTAACAAAGCCAAATTTTCTTTTCTCTGGACAAATAAGACATGGACACCAAATAATACACAAAACAACACGACGTTTACTGATACATGAAACCATGCAATCAAAAATATGTACTTTCAAAAGTACAATTATTATTACTCAAGTGGGAAGTTAATGATCCTGGTATTCTTACATTACCAAAATACCTTGTCCTAACCTAAACAGATTATTGCTGCAGCATTACTGAACATGCACATATCCTTAGCAGGTAAAATTCTACCCTTGAAGAGAACTAAGATTTATGTATATAAATGAGGTGTCTGTACTGCTTAATTTCTCTATGCAGCTTTTTGATTACTTGGCACTTTAAAAGTATTAATTTTTATTACACAGTTACTGTCCCACCTGCTCAGGCGCTCTTCCTATGAATGTTTTTGGATCTAAGAGAGTGTCGAGTTGAGGTATAATGGGAGCGAAGTATGGAGACTTGCGTATTCTTTCCACAAGATCGTTATCCATCCCATGTTGCTTAACCTGGGTACCCGCTTCTTGGGAAAACACTCGAATTTGCTCATGGCATACCTATGGAAAAAATAATGGTAAAATTTAATTCATGAGAAATTTTCACCACATAAAAATTCTTTTTTTTGTTTGTTACAGGCAGAAATTTTCTGTGATGTAGGAACCACAAACACATTAAATAGTAGTGCTCTCTGCATTCGAAAAGCGGAAAAATGCCATCAGTGATAAAACTTGATAATATGCATGGGACCTCCCTCACGCTGCTGTCTGGGTACTCACACCCCACTATCTTAAAAAAATAAACACTACAAATAAGTAAAGAATGCGCAGATAATTATCTTCAGGAAGGTGTATCACATACCTGGCGGTCTCCACCAGCTTTCACCATAGCCATAATAACATTCTCAGCAGACATAAAAGGGAGTTCTTGCGTGATGTGACGTTCGATAACTTTTGGGTACACGACAATTCCCTCACATATGTTCTGCAGCGTCACAAGGATACTGTCGGCCGACAGGAAAGCTTCAGCCAATGTGATCCTCCTGCAGAAATCCAGTTACTATTTACAATAACTTAAATATAACATGTGATGAACGCATACCCCGAAACACATCCAACGCTTATGATCACCATGCATGACAATTTGTAAACATTCAGTTC